TTCACCCCGCGGTGTCCGTGTCCGTCTGTCGCCACCACTGGCGTGCTGACTGCGGATCGCGCTTCACTCCCCTCTCGGGGCTTCCGGTGCGCGACCTAGCTGGCGCCGCCCCTTGCACCCGCCAGGCTCGGCCCGCTTCTTGGGTTTCTCTGAGTTGCTTCCCCGGCCACCTCGTGGTGCCCCCATGCGGCATTTTGGCCGCGCTGCAGCTTCGGTTGCTCAATTCACTCGCTTTCTTGCGATCCGAGGCTGTTGGACCACTTGGCTTCGGCCACCCTGGTACTCCGCAGCTCGCTGATGCTCACGCCCTACATTGGGCACACAATCCGGCTTTGGGCAGTCGGTTCACTTGGCTTCGGCCACCCTGGTACTTTCGCGGTTCCATGGGTGCCTACGCCCCTGCACTTAATTCGCTCGCAGCTCGCAGACCCTGGCCGCCGACCACTCTGGCAGCCAGCCCGTCTTCGCAGCGCGGTGCACGCGTGCACCCTGGCAGTGCGGCTCCCCAACAGTTGCCGTCAGCCCCCTTCCACTCGCCGGCCTCGCTGTTGAGGTGCCGCGTGAGGCTTCGGCCCACCGCTTTTAAGTTAATTCGTCTTTGCGCGGCCCGCTCTGACTGGACTCGCCGCTGGCGCGCTCGCCTGCGGCCGCTGACTAAAAAGTATTCCCACCAGCCAGGACCTGTGCGTCTCCGGGGTTGGTGTGCGACTTTGGTGGCTCCACCCAGTGCACCACTCTGGGCCCTGCCCGGCACCCCTGGCCGTCTCCTCCGTGTTCCGGCTGGCTTTCCCCTGATCACACCCTGGAAGGGCGCCGCGCCATTTTGGCTGCGACCCATCCGCGGTTGGTCAACTCGCTGCAGATCATTTCGCACATGGTGGCCTTGCTCTCAGGTTGTCGCAAGCTTGCAGCCCCCTGGCAGCCCAGGCAGCTCGCTGCCCCCCCCGGCTCCTCTTGCTGCTCCAGTGCTGGGGCTTCGGCGGTAGGCCCCGCTCTGCCCCTTGCTAGGTCATTAGGCCCACGCACGGCCCGCTCGGACCTCACTCGCCGTTGGCGCGCTCGCCTTCGGCTGCTAACGAGAAAATATTGGCACCAGCCCATCCAGGAACGATGCCTAGGAGAGCTGACGGGAGAAGGTGGGGAGAGACGCACATAGTGAAACAGCGCGGGCAACAACGGTGAATTGGGAGATCACTGGTAGCGAAGGGTGTTGGTGCTGCTGCTGGTGCTGTTGCCTCTGCTGGTACTGCTGCTGCTGGTGCTGTTGCTGCTGCTGCTGCTGCTGGTGTTGCTGGTTCTCGTGCTGCTGGTGCCGCTGGTGTTGCTGCTAGTGCTGGTGGTGCTGCTGCTGCTACTGGTGCTGCTGCTGCTGCTAGTGTTGTTGGTGGTGGTTGTGGTGGTGGTGGTGCTGCTGCTGCTAATGTTGCTGCTGGTGCTGACGGTATTGGTGGAAGCAGGCTGTGTAACAATCGCCTCGGACGCGTTTTCTCGGAGGTCTCTTGGAGCCATCGTGGGGGTCTCTTGGGGTTCTCTTGAGGGCCCTCTTGGGGCATTCTTGGGGCTCGTTTTGGGTGTCTTGCGGCCCTCTTGGGGTTCTTTCTTGGGGTCTGGGAGGCCTCTTGGGGCCGTCTTGGCCCCCATTTGTTGAAAAAGAGGGATGCCCCCAATTGGGGTCCTCTCCCTCGGAGGTTGAAAAAGGGCGTCTTGGGACCCTCTTTGGCCGCTCTTGGAGCGCTCTTGGGAGCTCTTGGGGCCGTCCTCAGCCCCTCTTGGGGCACTCTCGGGCTACCTTAGGCCCATCTTGAGGCCTCAAGAGCCCATCGGAAGCGAAAAAGCGAAAAGGCTCAAAAACACATTGTAGTTGCAAACGCTGTCAGCTATTTGGTGCCAGACGATAGCAGACGAAAGCAGACAATTGAAGACGATAGCAGACGATAGAAGACGATAGCAGACGATTGCACCCAAGTGCCTTGTTGCCTCCTGTTTGCCCCTTGCGGTTCCTGCCGGCCCCACATCTGGTTTCGTGCTATCGTCAGTTTTCGTCTGCAGCGGGTCCTGGCAGCTCCCAGCTGGTGCTATCGTCTGCTATCGTCCGCTATCGTCTGCTGCAGACGATAGCCGACGACAGCCACCCCTGGCGGCCCCTATCAGATCCCATCGTCTGCTATCGTCTGCACCGATTCTCTATCGTCTGCAGCGGGCCCTGGCAGCCCCTAGTTAGCCCTGTCGTCTGCTATCGTCTGCTATCGTCTGCTGCAGATGGTAGCAGACGACAGCCACCCCTGGCGGCCCCTATCAGATCCTATTGCTTGCTATCGTCTGCAATCGCCTGCACCGGTTCTTGGCGGCCCCCAGCTAGACCTATCGTCTGCTACCGTTTGCAATCGTCTGCAGCAGTTCCTGGCGGCCGCGAGCTGGTCTTATCGTCTGCTATCGTCTGCTGCAGACGATGGCAGACGATTGCCACCAGTGGCCCTAATGCGTTTACCGGCCCCTGCAGTCGATGCCCATCCAGCAACGATGCCCAGGCGAATCATCTTGATCAGGGAGAGGATGGGGAGTGTAGCGAGGAGGGGGAAAGAGGATGAGGAGAAGGAGGAAAACGAGGGGGAGGAGGAGAGCGAACGGAATTGGGCAGCGGGAGGAGGATGAGGAGTACGAGAATGAGATGGGAGAGGAGAAGTGGAGTGTGAGTGTATATGGATGTGCGCCTGAGTGTGAGTGTGTATGAGCTTAAGCTTATACGAGTGTGAGTGGTCTGTTTGTGAATGGGTCTGTGTGCGTCGATGCCCATCCAGCAACGATGCCAAGGCAAGTGATCTTGATCAGCGAGAACGGGGAGGGGAGCGAGGAGGGGGAAAGAGGATGAGAAGAAGGAGGAAAACGAGGGGGAGGAGGAGAGCGAACGGAATTGGGTAGCGGGAGGAGGATGAGGAGTACGAGATTGAGAGGGCATAGGAGAAATGGAGTGTGAGTGTATATGAGTGCGCGCCTGAGTGTGACTGTGTATGAGCTTAAGCTTCTAGGAGTGTGAGTGGTCTGTGTGTGAATATGTCTGTGTGCTATTGAGTTTGATGGTGCTTGAGTCTGGGTGTGAGTGAGTCTGAGTGCGGATGAGTCTGAGTAAGTATGAGATATGAGTGAGTGCCAGTGTGGGGGAGTCTGAGCGTGAGTGCAGGTCGGGCCTTGAATCTGGGGTTTGAGTGCGTCGCGGACGGAATTCCAGCGGTCCCAGGGCCCCACATGGCCTCACCAGACTCGCCAGACCCACTGGACTCACCGGACTCACCGGACCCACCGGCGCCAGCGGAGGAGGCCAGGGACTCACAGGACCCGCCGGACCCACCGGACTCGCCGGACTCACTGGACTCCCCGGACCCGCCGGACTCACCGGACTCGCCGACCCACCGGACCCACCCGATCCGCCAGCAGTGCCGGATCCGGCCGGGCCTACCGGACTGGAGCAGCATCCTCAACCTACCACCACAACGCCGACCACCACCACAGCCGTCGACGTCGTCCTCGTCGACGCTCCCCGCCGCCAGCCGCCGCAGGCGCCAGGGCCCGTCCAGAAAAAGAAGTCGCCGTCCTCGTCGACGCTCTCCGCCGCCGCCGCCAGCCGCCGCAGACGCCGGCGCCGGCCCGAGGGAGAGAGGAGAAGTACAGGAAGAGGAAGGGGGGGAAAGGGGAGGGGTCGAACCACCCCCCCTGCCTCTCCGTCACGGGAGAAGGGGTAGGGGGAGTTCGAACCCCCCCCCCGCCTCCCCTTCAATCCAGGGGGGGGGGGATTCGGTTCCAAAAACCCCCCACCCTGCAAGCGCCCACAGAACGCGCTCTTTCCGATGGGCGCAAGAGACCCTCCAGACGATCAAGAGGGCCACAAAACTGCCCAAGAGCTCCAAGACGGCGGCCCGGACCCAAGAAAGGACGGGACGCAATGGAGGAATAAGACAAAACCGAGAAATGATCACTCGACACAAAGCGCAAGATTGTGTCAGATGGTACGGCTCTCTCAAGGCTCGGCACAAGAGGTGTCACACGTTCCGGCCTCCTCTGCGCCCGCCAACCAGCCGCCATCCAAGGTGCTGGGCTGGCACGGTGGCGGGACTTGCCGCAGGCAGCTGTATGTTCTCCACGGAGAGATAGATCTTACGCACGATGGCGCGGCGCCCTTACACGGCGGCTCACGCAGGCCGCCAGCGCGGCACGGAGCGAGGAGAAGAAGGCGCCTGCGCGGGCATGCACGCAGCTGCATCTCCGAGGCCCCAGGCGAGGCGCCGCAAATCGCTCCGAGGCCGCCTGCGCCTCCTGGACACCGCCGAAAGCCGTGCTGCAACGCAGCCGCTCTGCCCGACTACTGCCGGAAGGAGGCAGCCGCCATCTGCTGCAATGCAGTCGGACTTGATTGGAGAGGACACGCGAGAGGGCACAAGACTCGTCCGACGGCAACGTGGCCCCAGAACACCAAAAGGCATGCGGGCTATACAGATAGGGATACACAGGACACAAGGGTACCCTCGATTTGGCATGGTCGACCTACTGATCGAGCTTGACTCACCAGAAGAAGACTCCATACACGTATCGGGAAAGGGAACGGATTTCCTAGGTCGGCGCTGGACCCCCGTCCCCACACCCGTCCGAGATGCCTCTGGCGCCGCGCACCAGGAACAGGGTGATGGGCCTCTCCTGCCAGCCTTTCTGAGAGCGCCTTCGTGACCCATCCCCGCTCCTGATTGTGGCTGCATGCAAAGGCTGCCTCGATGTGCGTATTTGGGTGGGTCGAGCTCCTCGTTCAACAGTGCCCCAGTCACAGGGCGCTGCAAGAACCACTTGGAAAAACACAGCACACCTGAAACGAATTCCCGCAAAAGCTCGCGCCCTGACCGGTCTCCTCAAAAAAGCCTTCATCATGCTACGGCGGACGAAGTAAGGGTTCGATGGCCGATGGGGCAGTTGAGTCGAGTGCGCACGTTGACTACTACTTGCTCCCTCCCCGAAGCCTGGATCCTGTCTCCGTGCACCACCTCCAGAACGGGAGGGTCCAGCTGGATCGGCTTTGCGATCTTGTCCGGCGGGCAAAAAGGAGAATACTTGCTCCAGCCCACGTCGCTCTGCACTGCCATCTGGACCTGGAGGGGATGGACCCGTTCGATCTGTCGTCCCCGCCAGCAGAGCCTGGATCGCATGGCGTGACCGCGATCCTGAACGAAGCGGTCGTGGGCCCCCCCCCCCCGAAGGGAGGCCCACGGGCTCCGCGGTGGTCCCAGTCGGGACATCTGGGAGGACCCACGCTTGCTGCAGGGCACGGAGACTCACGGAGAGAGCGAGACGGCATCTCCAGAGGGCGTCGAGCGAGAGGCTGGGAACACGTGAGGGGCAATCAAAGCCACGGGCTCGGGCTCTCGTCGAGCTCCGACCGCGGGCCAACGCCTCTAGGGGCCGCTGCCCCTCTGTGCCCGAGCCGAGGCCCTCGGAGCCACTGCCGAGGCAGAGGAGGAGCCTGGACGGTAACCCCCACGCGAGAGCCCAGACGCAACACACCCAAGCAGGGCGGGGCGGGTGGAAGGTCCCGAGATGGCCTGTGGAGAGCCAACTCACTCCTGGGAGGCCTCCTCGGGAACGAGAATGTCAATCCCGATCGGGGGGCTACTTGAGCCGGGTTGAGTCAAAATGAAGCCCGTAATAAACCCGATCAGGCCGGCGTAGACCTGTCAGGACCTTTCGAAGGGAAATCTTGGAGGCCTCGAAATGGTCACCAACACCACCACACGGGATTGCCTCTACTGGGAAAACATGATCCTAGATTTCGGTGTTGGTGGTTAGACGTCGGCCACCTAAAAGCCCGAATACCACCGCCATCACCGAGATTGGGAGCATCTTCCCTCGGTGGAAGCACACCGCCGATATTGGTGTTGGTGTCAAACCCTAAGGAAAATCCGCTCAAAATCGGTCTCGAACCCCCCCTCCCGACCAGCCTCGAGAACCGCGCCCAGCCGTCCCAGAACCGGTGCCGGGCCGCCTCGACCCCCCAGCCGGCTCCAAGACACCTATGGAGTAGGGAATCGGAGTTGTCAGCCGAATCTAAGAGAAATGCGTGGGATGCTGTAGTGCTCCGAGATATGCTGAGAATCCGATGCACTTCTCGCATACCTGAATTGACACATTTATATATATATGAATATATGTGTATATATATAATATCGGGGTAAACCAACTCTGCAGATCGATCCCCTACTCGAACCTCGGCCGCCTAATTTTGGCCGGGCGTATCCCCCTACACAAATACCCCGAAATCGTCAAACGATACCAGAAAAATCCCCTGACGTTTATTGAACTATTCTTGAACATTCCTCCTGTAGAGGGACAGTCCCGACGTAAACCAAATTTTGCGCGCGCGCCGCGTCCCGCAGTGCGCGACGCGCGGCTATGTCCGCGTTCTCTCGCCTTCACGCCCCCCCCCCCGGGAAAAGGGCAGCTCTTCAGTCCAGACCACGACGCGCGAAGCGCGACGCCTCCGCGGTTGACCTGGAATACTGGCGCCGTCGGAGGCTTGGACACGGGCACCAACACCACCACCTGGGTCTGCTGCAACCGGGGGAAGCGGATCGCAGATTTGTGCGTTTATAAAGAAATTTCGGCCACCTTGCAAACCCGAATACTGTCGCCATCACCGAAATCAGGATCATCTTCCCTCGATGCTGATGCTGGCGTCGACCTCGAAGCCTCCGATACTGGCGCCGATGCTGCTGCTTTCGAACAAAAACCGGGCGCGCGCGTCGCCACCTTTTTTTGTCAACGTCATCCTCTAAACGATTGATTTAAAACGTAACGCGTCCTCGCGTAGTGCATATGCGTAGGTATGCAGATATCAATCTAAAAGCATATGCGCGCGTCCACGCACGCGCCCATCTCCTCACCTGATTGGCCATTTACCATGCGTAGCAACATTTTCACGCGCGTGCTTTTCAGATGCCCGCGCGCTTAGTCAAAGAAAGCGCGAGCGACTCAGGCGCCCCCCCCCCCCCCCTACCCGCCACCGCCACGCCCACCCGCCCCCCGCCCCACCCCCGCCCCACCCCACCCCGCGCACGCTCCACACTGAACTGCCGACGCCGAGTCAAATCACATGTCTCTTTCGCGTTATCTATGTGTTTCCCTGGCTCTCTCTCTCTCTCTCTCTCCCTCTCTCTCTCTCTCTCTCCCTCTCTCTCTCTCTCACTCTCTCTCTTTCCCTACCTAGGTTCTGCCTAGAAGGGTTCTTACTCTCTTAGCTCGAAGGGGCCGGGCAGTGGAAAGCGCCCCAGGCGGTTCCCCCAGTCCCCTGGGAGCGGTTCCCCCCAGTCTCCTGGGAGCTTTAGCTGTAGCTTTAGTTTTAGTTTTAGCTTAGCTTTAGCTTAGCTTCAGCTTAGCTGTAGCTTAGCTTTAGCTTAGCGTTTCGCTTAGCGTTTCGCTTAGCGCTTAGCTTAGCTTTAGCTTAGCTTTAGCTTAGCTAAAGCTTAGCTTGAGCTTAGCTGTAGCTTAGCTTTAGCTGAGATGTAGCTTAGCTTTTGCTTAGCTTCAGCTTAGCTTTAGCTTATCCTTAGCTAGAAGTAACTCAGATTTAGCTTAGCTTTAGCTTAGCTTTAGCTTAGTTTTAGCTTAGCTGTGGCTTAGCTTTAGCTTAGCTTTAGCTTAGCTTTAGCTTAGCTGTGGCTTAGCTTTAGCTTAGCTTTACCTTAGCTTTAGCTTAGCTTTAGCTTAGCATTACTGTTACTACTAATGTTGCTTTCCTAGGGGTTCCAACTCCTAGGTAGGGTCGCACTGGGATAATCTCTCTTTCTCTCTCTCTCTCTCTCTCTCTCTCTCTCTCTCCCCCCCCCCCCTCTCTCTCGCATTCTCTTTCTCGTTTCTCTTTTGCTGCGCCAGAACTCATCCTCCTTTCCATCGGGGGGAAGGGGAGAGAACCTCCTCCTCCTCCTCCTCCTCCTCCTCCTCCTCCTCCTCCCCCTCCATCTACTCCTACACCTCTTCCATCCCGAAGGCAAGGGGCGGGGGCAGACCCCCCCCGCCCGCCCCCCCCCCCCCCCCCCCCCCCCCGCCCCCCCCCTTCCCCCGAGGGAAAGGGGCGGAAAGAGCCGCATCTCGGCCTCCTTTCCTGAGACCACAAACAAGCAGAGGTGGCCCTGCTACTCCTCCCTACCCCTCCCCCTTCTGATGGAAATGGGCAGGAGCCCCCCCCCCCCCTTCGCGCACCCCCCCCCCCCCCTTAGAGAGAGGGAAGAAGCCCATCCCCCCCCCCCCCCCTCCTTCCGAGGAAAAGGAAAGACCCCCCGCCTCCCCCGCTGTCCTGAAGGTCAAAGTGAGGAAGGGCGCGCCGCCTCCTCCTCCTCCCTGCTGTGGAGAAGGGTAACTCCGATCCTCTCCGCCCCCCCACGCCACCCCCCACCCCCCTTCCCCCCTCTTCCTGAAAAGGAAGGGGAAGTTGGGGGGGGGGGGGGGGGGCATTTCCCCCTCATCCTTCCTGTTTTTCGCGCTCTGGTAGCTAGCCCTCTTCCCCCCCCATCCTCCCTCTGGGAAGCGGAGCGACGAGCGCCCCTCCTCCTTCCTGGTGGACAGGGGAGGGGAGGTAAACCGCTCCTCTTTCGTCCTGAAGGAAAAGATGGATTCCCCCCCCATCTCCCCCTCCGCCCTCCGACCCCCCCCCATCCTCCTTCTCCTCCCCCCCCTCCTCTCGCCCCCCCTCCTCCTCCTCCTCAGCTCCTCCTCCTCCTCCTCCTCCTCCTCCTCCTCCTCCTCCTCTCGTCATCATCATCAGCATCATCATCATCATCATCACCCCGCTGTTTTTTTTACCATTATTATTGTTTATAAAAAAGAAAACTGTGATAGAGGAGAGAGAGAGAGAGAAAGAGAGAGAGAGATAGAGAGAGAAGGGAAAGAAAGAGAGAGAGAGAGAGTGAAGCCTCTTCGGTTCAAGGTGCCGCGACGCCCCCTCCTCCTGTGCCCCCTCATCCTTCTCACCCCAATCAGCCCCCATCTCCCCCCTGTCTACCTGCATCCATTTACCCCTTCCCGCCGCCCACCCAAATCGCGCGGCGCTCGCCGCGCGCGGCGCTGCAGCGCGCCCCCTCATTGCGGCCCAGCCCTCGCTCAGGGCAGGGCGGGCCAGGCCACCCGAGGCGCGGCCGCCGGGGCGAGGAACGCGACGGCGACGGCGCCGCAGCCGAGATCGACGCACCGCCACGAGACCAGACCTCCTCCTCGCCCGCGCACCACACCTCCGCCAGCACGCTTGTTAGCTAGGATCAGCTCGCAGAGGGTCCGCGCCCCGTTGAACCAGCCTCCTCTGCGGACGCGCCCGTCGCCCCGTTTGCCCGCCCCCATTGCTCTTGCTCGCTGGCAAGGCGCAAGGGGCGGCTCTCGCCGGGCGCGGGCGACGCGGCGGGGCGGAGGGCGGGCGCGACGCCCAGCCTGGAGGGGGCCTGGTGGCGGCGCGGGCTCGAGCCCACCCTGCTGCTGGACCGCGCCCTCGCCAGCCTGAAACTCCATCTCGTCCTCGGGGTTGCCCTGCGTCATTGCGCTGCTGCAGCGCGCGATGACGCGGTGAATCGCAGCTGCAACTACAACCCTCGATGCCAAAACAGCGGCGGCGCCGACGACGACTACGACGGCGACGACGCTGACGACGACGAACCCCTGCCAACCATTCGGCTGACCCGGGCACATTCGGCCGCCTCCATCCTTGCCCCCCCCTGCACCCTTTTCGCAAACATGTGCTGCCCGAAATAAGGTCGCCTCCATCCAGCCGCCGCGTGCTAACGACTGCCGCGGCCCCCCCATCTGTCCCGCCCCCCCCCCCCCCCCCCCAACACACGCGCCGCCAACCCCACTGCGCCCCCCCCCCCCCCCCCCTTTGGCAACCCTCCTGGCGCCCCCCCCCCCCCCCGCGCGCGCGCACGCACGCGCGCCACCCACGCGAGCCACATCTCCCCCCCCCCCCCCCCCCCCCCCCCCCCATGCGCCCCAACCCGCCCCCCCCCCCCCCCCCCCCCCCCTTTCCACCCCCCCACCCGCCCACCCCGCACTCCCCACCCCCCCCCCCCCCCCCACGCACACACACACACACACACACACACACACACACACACACACACACACCACACATACACACACAGCACACACACACACAACACACACACACACACACCCACACACACTGCGCACCCACACACACACACACAACACACACACACACACACTCCACACACTCACACACGCACACACGCACACACACCACACACACACACACACACACACACACACACACACACACACACACGCCACACAACCAATCGCCCTCCCTTTCCCCTTCCTCTCGCCCCGCGCTTCCCGACGACTGCGCGCGCCATGCCCCCCCCCCCGCCCCGCCCGCCCCGCCCCCGCCCACCAACACCGCCAACACCACACAACGCAACACACACACACCACAACAACACACACACACACGCACGCACGCACTCACGCACGCACGCACGCCCACGCACACAAACACCACCCACACACACACACACACAACCACACACACACACACACACACACACACACGCACACACGCACACACGCACACACGCACACACACACACACACACACACACGCACACACACCGCAACCCTTCCTCCGAAGTGCTGTCAACACTTGCATGGCCCACCGCTAACAGGCGCCTGCGAAGCGAGCGGTGGGAACTTGGGAAAGTGGGAGTATAGGCCGAAATCTGCGAGGGCGAGCGACATTCAAGAAGCATGCGGGTAGCGCGACGACGAGCGATCCACAACCAACGGTGTCGGAGGGTGGAAAATTAGCGATCATTGCGTCGTATCCAACAGTGTCGTCCTCGTCTCCGTCGGCGTCGCCGCCGTCGCTCGGCCGTCGTCGGCCCACTGCGCCAATGGATGCGGCGCGATGAGCAAGTGCTGTAGCACTCCCAGTTGCCGCGCACGCGCTGCAGAGCCTAAAGCCACTCAGTTCGCGGCCGCCTCTTGGGCTGCACGAAATACTCCACCGCCAGCGCCCGCGCACTCTCCGACTGCTCCTTCCTGATCGCGTCTGCGATGAGATCGAACGCTACCTTCCACATCCCTGTGTGTTGAGCACGCTTCCGCGGAGCAGCCGCTGCACCTGGCCGCGACGAGTGAGGAGGCGGCGGAGGAGGTGGCAGATCGGCAGCTGCCGCTGGCCGCGATGACTTCGGAGGAGGAGGAGGCGGCGGAGCAGCCGCTGCAGCGGGCCGCGACACCTTCGGAGGCGGCGCCGGTTCCTGCGGCAACCGCCATGGCGGCGCAATCGAAGCCATGTTTGCCGACCAATGTATGATGTGAGCATCAAAGAGTGCGAACCTAGATCCACCATGCACCATGGTGCACCATGCATGGCCACGCAGCGCAAGCACCGATGACCACAGTGAATACCTGGTGCCCAGCACAGAACGAAACAAACCTATAAAACGCACATGCGGGCTGCAACCATAATGCACACCTGCGCTGCAGCGCGATGCAAACATATGATAGCAGCGCGCCAATCATACGCAGAATAACCCAGCGCTGCAGCGCCGTGAGATCGCACATCGACGGCGGCAGAGCATATACGACGCACGAGGTACGCACTTGGTCGCAGCGTCGTCGCGTCGCAGCACGCAAACACAGATAAGCCATATGCAACAGCAAAGATGCGCAATGACACCAACAACTGCGAGCCCCCCCCCCCCCGTCCTCCCCCCCCCTCTCCCCCCCCCGTAACCCTCGCCAGCATTGCATCAAGATTATCCCAATCCTCCTCCTTCTCCTCCTTGTCCTCGCCCTCGCCCTCGTCCTCCTCACCTCCCCCCCCCCTGCGCCCTCTGCCCTTCTCAATCGCACTGCCGACCGCGATCGCG